TGGAGGTGATGGGTCAAATAGGATTGTAACCAAGAGAGTGCAGTTCCACAGAGGTGGATGAGGGAGTAGATATGATTGAGGAGGCTGCTTTCCTATTAAAGGTAAATTATTTTCTTTGGCTTTTTGCCTACAAAATATGCAGTCAATTCACTTCACAGTATATTCTGTGAAGCGCTCTGAGACGTCTCGCAGACATGAAACGCTATATCAAATGCAATTATTATTATCATTGTCTTTTCTGTTGCAGGCTGTGCTCATAAGTAAGTCCTAGTCCACTGTGTCCAACGTCAGAACTGATGATTATTAAGCATTTGCTGCTGTTTTATAGTGGCACTGTGCTCTTTGCAGCTTTCTCAACTTATAAATGTGCAATTCAAATAAGGAACAATGGATACCGGAGGCTGTATAAAGCTATTATCTAATTTACGTGAATTCATAAACCACAGAGTGAAGCTCGATCAATTGCCAAAACCTAGAGATTAGATTACAAGGTTGAAGCCATTATTTCCTTGTTATTATAACTGCAATGTCAGTGCAGTATTTTGTGGCCCTCATTTTTAATATTGTTCCAGTTTTTCTGTTGGCAACACCTATCACTTGGTTCATGCTGATCGTCACACAAGAGGATTGAATATTGCTGGGGTCTTTTCTAAATAAATATACCACAATTACTTCTTCCAGTGTACAATATATACAGCGTGTTGCCTTTTTTCAGTTCTGTGATCAAGTGAGAATGGCGAATGCTAATAAATTGAACTTGGGCTTAATTGTAGTCGAATCAATCTATTACTAACAGTCCTTGCATTTGAGTGGCTTTCATGTCAGGAGATGTCTCAAAGCGGTTCACAGAAAATACTGAAAGTACAGTGATTGTATTTTGTGGTCAAATGATGCAGCCACAGCAGGGTCCCACAAACAGCCATGAAGTGAGTGAGTGACGTATTTTATCTTTACTTATAACCGGAGATTTGTCCCAGTATCTAATGGAGGGCACCTCACCCATCTTATGACACCACATTTAAAGAATGACTTGTCTGACTGTGTAGTGTATGCATGGACTTGCACTGTGTCTTTTGTCTGAAATCTGCACATTGTTTAAATGTGCACTGGTTATGCAATGGGGAAGCAGTATCAAACTTCCTTTTTTCCAAAAATTCAGGAACCTGCTTTGTATTTGTGAGCACTATTGAGGAGGATGGATGCAGTGATCAATAAAATAATCCTTGTGCTTAATGCAGCACCTAGCCACATTGTTAACATCCAAAGCACTTCAAAGTGTATTTGTGTATTTAGTGGAGATTTGTGAGGTTGGGATTTATCAGTGTTTTTAATGTGAAGGAGTTTGCAAAAGGTAGTGCGGAAACAAACGGTAAAAAGATTAGAGAAGTATGGTACTGTAGTACAAGCTGGTCTGCACTTTGATAAAAAAATATTTGCCAATAAGTTACAATAACTACTTTTTTACATTTAATTTAAATGTTTATTATATACAATAACAACCGGCTGATCCCAAAGGTGAGGAAGGGAGTCACGTTGGGACTTCACAATCTGATGTGCAGGATTAGATTGGTTAGCTATCAAGTCTGCTGTTACAGAGTGCAGCCTAAACACTAATGGATGTCAAGTATTATTTTGACACTATTCCAGGTAGTGAGCTCATCCACAGTAGTCTTGTATTGTACACACAATTGAAAGGCTTTGTCACTAAGTAAACCTTTCTTTTAAAAAAACTGAAGTTAATTCTTCCTCTTTATAGCTGTTCAACCTGACCTATATAATAAATGTATAAGGAGACAAAATACATATATATTAATAATAATCCTTGCATTTGATATAGCACCTTATCACGTCTTTGAGGCGTCACAAAGTGCTTCACAGAATATACTGTAAAGTGAATTGGCTGTATATTTTGTGGGCGAAATGCAACAGCCAATTGTGCACAGCAGTGTCCCACAAACAGTCGTGGATTGAAGTGACCAATTTAAAAAAACATTTTTGAAGGAATTATTTATTATCCCCGAAAAAGCGATCCACTAATCAACTCACAACCGGGTTCCTACTTACTGTTAGGTAAACAGAGGCGTGTGGAGTAAGGAAATTTGCCCAACGTATCGTTCTGCTGTAATCGAACCCAAGTCTCTCGCTTGCAAGGCGAGTGCTCTAAACACTGAGCTACAGGAACCCACACTCCATATATAGACTCCGGATAATATACACCTGCTTGGTAAACATGCCTCTGTTTAGCTAGCAGTAAGTAGGAACCCAGTTAGTCGATTGGCAGATTGCTCTTCCGAGGGTAATAATTCCTTCAAAAACAAATAATAATAAATTGGCCACTCAATACGCGTCTGTTTGTGGGGCACTACTGTGCGCAATTGGCTGCTGAGTTTTGCCCATAAAATGTACAGCTAATTCACTTTACAGTATATTCTGTGAAGCGCTTTGAGACGTCTCCAAAGACATGATAAGGCGCTATATCAAATGCAAGGATTATTATTATACATTATTATAGGGTGACCAAAAAGTCGTGTTACCATTACAATGTCTAATAAGTCTTTAAAAAAATGATATTTTTGCTTGTTTTTAGATAATAGGGTTAGTTATCACAACACTTTAGTCACCTTTATATATTGCATATATAATCCATATGAGTAATATTTTTACTATTAGTTTCAAAAGTGCAGGAATGCTCATTTAATATTCTAGACCCTTTAAAATAACCTGGGAGTTTGCCTGCTTATTGCTTCATGCTAAAATTAATGTAACTAATTTCATTTTTAACAATCCATAATGGAAATGATGCAAACAGAAACCTTTTAGCCGTGATCTGAAGAATTTTCAGTAAGCTGTCGTAGGCCTAGGTAAAGGCCATCGAGCCTTACCTGCAGAGAAAATGTAGTTTAATAGCAGTGCTGGCTGTCTGCTCCAATTAGGATCATACACTTTCTTTTTTGCAAGCTACAAAGGGTAGGCACAGTTTAATTCTTCACATTGGAAACCCAATACTGTTTGTTAATTATTGATCAAGTTTCAAGGATATTTTGCAACTGAGTTAACCAGGATTTCTGCCTCTGAAGTTCATCCAGAATGCATCTTGCATTCTGCCTTTGCTGTGCAGCATTGAGAGAGGCATGAGGAGATGCAGATGCAAACCTTTAGTGACCCAGATTCACAGAGACTAACTAGGTATATGGGTCATTGAAAATGTAGGACTGTTGCACAAAAGCCTACTTTAACTGACTGTCCAGGGCCTTGGGACGTCCTCCCAAAGTGAAAGGCGCTATACAAATGTGTTGTTGTTGTTAACCAAATATAACAGCATAATCCAACTGGGCATTATGTTCAACATCAAAGAATATGAACTGTGGGCCTCTAACAGCTAAGCATCAAATCTTTGTTTGTAGCAGTAATTGATGAGGGAAAGCTAAATAATTCCATGCAATATTTCATGTTTGTTTTCTTCATGTACAAGAGTGCCACCTGGCTCAGTGGTAGCACTCTCACCTCTTAGTCAGAAGGTTGTGGAGTCAAGACTTGGAATCACATAGTCTAAGATGACTCCAATGCAGTGCTGGGGGGCGTTTTATTATCAGAGTTGCCGTCCTTCGGATGAGACCTTAAACCGAATTCCCATCTGCCTGTTCAGGTAGACATTAAAGATCCCATGCCACTATTCGAAAAGAGGAGGGAGTTTCTCCCAGTGTCCTGGCCAACAATTCCCCAAATAAAATTGGTCACTCAATTCATGGCTGTTTGTTGGATATTATTGTGCACAAACTTGCCCACAAAATAGAGTTAATCCACTTCACAATGTATCCTGCGAAGCACTTTGAGACGTCTTGATGAGGTGATTAGATGGTATATAAAATACAATGATTAATATTATTAATAAGATTAAGCTTTTTGTATCACTTTGTGAGGCTGTGGCTGGCGTTGAAGGGTTTATTGAACACTTCAGTGAGTAGTAACAGATGACCAGAGTCACCATTTTGTGCTAAACTGTGTAGTTTTAACTTTGGGGGCTGTGATTTAATTTTACTCTGAGGATTTCAAGCAAAAGAAATCTAGGGCTCCCAAACCTTCTGTGATATCTTGCTATATTCTGAAATGAGTTCCCCTTTCCTGTATGCTCCTCTTCTTTGCATAAATAGCTCTTGCCATCAGTCGCTGTCAACCTTGATGTTATGCAAGTGAGGTTCTCATGCAGATCTGAGTGATGTAATTTGGTTAGATGCTATCAGAGTTTTTCAATGTCTATTTTTAAAACTCATTGCTTGAGAGAGTTCACTTGCAACCAGTGCTGTACAGTTTTTGACATTGGCCTTTATCCCAGCTTCCTCCTTCCCTTGCTAGGAATGCCTCTATTATGTGACTGATTTACTCTGGAGGCCTCAAATAAAGGGAGATAATGAGACTTGTTGAAGTTGCAATAAAAGGAGCTGAAGGTGATTTGACATCAGCATATCACACAGCTGGAATATAGCAATGGCAGCACAGTTGTAGCTTTGAGAATAATGCACAGAGGGATCTGCACGACTGGTTCAATGCCTCTGTAGTTCTGTAATAAGCTTGCAATAGCTATATTGCTGGTACTGGTAATACTGCACACAGATCTGCAGTTTCAAGTTGGGCAGTACTTTAGTATATGCCAGCATTCAGCATTTGGGTTGAGGTGCAAATACTTAAAAAAAACTGTTTATGTCTGTGTTGTGCTTACAGTACTTACCCACATAGCTCCCGAGAGATCAGATGTACCCAAAGCTCTTGTGTATTTGGTATTTAACTTTTCATTGAAGCAAACATCTTAAATTTTGTTTAAAACCTGGAAGTATCTACTCAATTTACAAGAAATATTTAGCTTTTGTTCCTGTTTTTTTTAATGATCTGATCAGTATGAATGTTGATGCTGCCATTTTGTTAAGCACCCTGTGCCAGGAGAGGAAACCGCTTGTGTGCTTTCTGTGCCAGTGTCTAAACTTGCTGATTATTTTCTCTTACAGTTCTATGTGCTGACAGAGTGGGCCAGATGACTAAAACGTACAGTGATATAGATGCTGTCACACGTCTGTTGGAAGAGGTAGGTGTGGCTCTTTTAACCCAAATGTAGAAACATTATGTATTGCCTCATTGAATTTCTATGATGTGAATATATATCACTACATTGCGATCAGTAGTGATAATGGCTTATTTATAGCACGGCCACTTTGCCTAAGGGCTATTGAAGAGCCAGTCCGAGTGAAATTGGTTAATTTAGAATCTATCTTGGGTACACATCTCAAACCTTCCTGGCTTGATACATTTATCTGCTGAACTATTGGGAGTCCTGGTTTGGAACTGTTTTGTTTAAATATGGCATCTAGTTAGAATACATTTGTTTGTTCTGAGTATATTACATATTTTCTATGTTTATTAATCATCCCTCATCCACTATAATTTATATAGAAAATACTAACAGTGTGCTCTGTCTTCCGCTGCCATAATAGTTGATATCTGTTTCACCCTAATGGGAATCAAAACAAAGCAGCAAAAAGTCATGTTAAGCACCTTGTCTTGGAATTACCTCAAGGATGCCATACTGAATCAAGAGTTGGACCACTGATTTATGGCTTGTTTATACTTACAACACATTTAATGAGAAGGCCATTAAAGGAGTGCTTCCTTACATTGAGCACTGTGCTTCCTCAAAACATCCAATGACTGTGTGTGGTGTTTGTTTAAACTCCTTCTACAGAAAGAGCGTGATTTAGAGTTAGCTGCACGGATTGGTCAGTCTCTGCTGAAGAAGAACAAGACACTCACAGAAAGAAATGAGTACCTTGAAGAAAAAGTGGAACATGCCAGGGAGGAGGTGAGTGTCTGTACAGCATTGTGCTATGATGTGTTTTACAGGCTTTAGATTTCTCTTTCTCTCTTTCTCCCCCCACCCATCTCCCCCATTTTCTTCCCCTAATCGAATACTGGCTGTATAAAAACAAGGCAATGCTTTTCCAGTTGTCCAGAACACTGGCCAAACTTTATTTGGAATATCAGTTTTGGGCACCCAAATGATGAACTGGCTTCTGCAGATATCCAGTGACAATTCACTAGATTCATTTGTTGACTGACTGAATTCGTAAACTCGGTAGATTTAGATTATATTCCCTGGAGGAGTTTTGTGGATGATCTGATGAAGTGTTAATAATAATCCTTGCATTTGATATAGCGCTTTTTACGTCTTCTCGAAGTATCAAAGTGCTTCACAGAATAGACTGTAAAGTGTAGTGACTGTATATTTGTAGGCGAAATGCGGCAGCCAATTGCGCACAGCAGCGTCCCACAAACAGTTGCTGATTGAAATGAACAAATTATTATTGTTTTTTTTTCTTGAGGGATTATTATCAGGCCTGTGTGTGGAATAAGGAAACTTGCCCAAGGTTTCACCCCCTGCCGGGAATCAAACTCGCAAAGCGAGTGCTCTAACCACTGAGCTGCAGGACTCCACATTAACATCATCATTAACATCAATACCATCATCACCATCATCATCATTAACATCAACATCATCATTGGCATCATCATCATCATTAACATCAACAACATTAACATCATTATTGTAATCATCATCACCATCATCATTATCATCAACAATAATAATCCTTGCGTTTGACCCAGCGCCTCATCACGTCATTGAAATGTCTCAAAGTGCTTCACGGGATACACCGTAAAGTGTAGTGACTGTGTGTTTTGTGGGTGAAACGCGGCAGCCAATTGCGCCCAGCGACAACCCCACAAACAGTGGGTTGAAATGATCAAATTCGGCTGGGGGTCAGGTAGGGCTGGAGTGAAGAGAATTAACAAGATAGATAATGGATAACTTTTTATCTCTGCAACAGTGTGCCAAACAAAGGGAGATAATCTTAAAATTATAGCTAACTAAGTAAAATCAGAATTTTTTTCTTCATGCAAAGGATTTGGGGAATGTGAAATGCACTGTTCAGAAGGCAATAGGTATTGTGAAAGCATCAATGCATTTAAGGGGAAACTGAATGCATACAAGAGGGAGAAGGGAACAGAGGGATATAGGGCAAGCTAGAGAGAGGGATTAGGATGGGTGCAATTCATGTGGAGCATAAACACCAACACAGACTAGATGGGCTGAATGGCCTCTTTCAATGCTGTAGATTCTATTCTATGAGAGAAAGAGAGAGAGATACACACTTAGAAAATAAGGCCTGTTAAGTAGTATGGAGAAAGTTGGGGAAAGTAGGATTAAAAGATCTGACCAGGTTAGATAAGATGAATGCTTCTATGTTTCTAATTGATGTAGCTATGGACCGTGCACATAGAAGTGAATCGCACAAGTTTAAAATTCACACATTTCTCTATCTTTTCTCTCCTACCTGCACAGGTTGCCCAGCTACGCCATGACCTCTCTATGAAAGATGAGTTGCTTCAGTTTTATACCAATGCTGCAGAGGAAAGCGAGACTGACTCGACCTCCTCCACACCGTAAGTATACGGTGTGCTCACTCCTAGTATAAGGAGGTGGCGCAGCATTTGCTTATCAGCTAAAAGAGCCGAGGATGCAGATACCAACGTGAAATTGTTAACAATCACCTTATGTTGTTGTGATCACGAGCATCACCTACAGTGCAGAATGGTTTCCAGTGTGACTGGCACTTCTGCTGCTGCTACTACTACTACTACTAGTAATAATAATAAGAATCCTTGCATTTGATATAGTGCCTTATCACGTCTTCAAGATGTCTCAAAGCGTTTCACAGAACATACTGTAAAGTGAATTGACTGGGTATTTTGTGGGCAAAGCTGATCAGTCAACTGATCTAAGTAATGCCAAACATTATCCTTTCTGTAAAGAAAAAATAAACTACATCTTGTTGAAATGAATATTTGATGCAGAAATAGGATGGTTGTAATTCATGTGGAGCACAAACACCAGCACAGACGAGATGGGCTGAATGGCTTCTTTCGATGCTGTAGATTGTATTTTAGAATCTAAAACAGATTCATGGAGTTCTGTAGGACATGGAGTCCTGTAGCTCAGTGGTTAGAGCAATCGCCTCGCAAGCGAGAGCCCTGGGTTTGATTCCCAGCAGCGCGAAACCTTGGGCAAGTTTCCTTACTCCACACGCCTGATAACAATCCCTCAAGAACAGAAACAATAATAATTTGGTCACTCAATCCAACTGTTTGTGGGACACTGCGCAATTGGCTGCCACGTTTTGCCCACAAATATACGGTCAATTCACTTTACAGTATATTCTTTGAAGCGCTTTCAGATGTCTCGAAGATGTGAAAAGCGCTATACCAAATGCAAGGATTATTATTATTAGAATCAAAATCACCAAATGAGCCCTTTTATTGGTTTTCTTATCCAGTCAAATGCAGAATCTATTTGAAGATTTTTCAATCCTTTTATTTATATATAAATTCATGTTTCCTCAGGTGTGAAATCCTGAGATTCCACAATGGGAAGACGGTTGTCTCAACTCTGTAAAATCTTCATTAACTTTGATATGAATAAACCAAGATGTCTTAATGGTCCTGTTTTTAAAACAAACATTCACTTTTGTTGCCCTAGGCTGAGATTGAATGAGCCTACCTCATCTGTACAGAATTATTTCCATTTGGATTCTCTTCAAAGGAAGTTGAAGGACCTTGAAGAGGAGAACGTTGTTTTAAGAACAGAGGTGAACAATATTTCGGTTTTATATCCTCCGGTCAGTAGCAATTGAAAGTGAGACCGTACTAAAGGTTATAAGTTATTCCAAGTTAATCTCCAGTCCTATTGTATGAAGGCGAGGAGAGCTTGGCAATTCGAATGCACAGGCAGACCCTCTGTCGTGGGGCGGTTGGAGCTGTTAAGCAGAGCTTTGGCTGAGAAGAAAGTGATACGAGTGAGGCAGTGTTATCCAGTGCTCTTAAAATACTACCAGTGTTAAACAACAATCTGCCTTGACATAGTGTTCTTGGGTTGGACCTCGCACAAAGGGGGAAGGGGAGATGACATTAGGCACGGTCGAAGAGATAAGTCTTCAAGTGGAATTTATAGTTGGATAACAGGGGGGCAAGACAGAGGGATTAAGGTTAAAAGAATTATAGTATAACAACAGCCGTCTGCAAACCCTGTTGTTTTGAGATTAAGCCAAATGATGTAGAAGTGTCTAAAAACATTTTGGGTTTGTTGTAGCTTTATGTACTATATATTCTCCCTGCTGGTTTGGAGAGAGTGTGAGATTTCACAGTACGAGTGCCTCACCTCACTACTGCAAAACACAGTGGTACATCCGTACTGTACTTTTACAATTCGTTGTTTAATGTTGTGTATATGACTATATGTTTTGTAGTATGACTATATGGGATGGAAATACTGTAAACAATGACCAGACTTTCTAAATTCCCTTTAAAAAATCAATGATTGCATCCTATGTTTGTCTTGTCATACAGGCATGTCACTTGGAGACTGAAACCATTACTTTTGAAGAGAAGGAGCAGCAACTTGTTAACGACTGTGTGAAGGAGCTAAGTATGTTTCTGGAAGTTTAATGAATTGCAAGAGAATGAAATACAGGAGTGATCCCTTCTTCCTCTTGTTGCTTTATCTAAAAAAAAATTGACCTTAAAATTACACTGATATATGAATTATTTCCTCTCAAAACAACACTTCAATACCTGCCTAAGGGAAGATGAGTAGACGGGTGCTAAAATATACAATTCAAAGTCTCTTGTTATAAAACATCTTTGCATGAATTTCAGTACTTATTAAATCTGTGCAAGTGGAAGGGGAGAAGGAGAAAGGTGTGAGTATACTATTGACTTGGGATCTTACCCAGTCATGGCTCCTGGATAGCTGTGACCAATAATTTCTGCTTCCAACCTTGAAATGCTGGGACAAATGATCATCACACCCCCCACCCCGCCCACACATGCACGTACACACATCACTACCTTGTTGCGATCAGCATGTAATTCTAGTTTAATGGGTGTCTGCAGTGATGCCTGCTTGTTTTCATTTTGATTGCTTTGTATTTGCGAACTATATATAGAATCTTTTTTATCACACCCCCCACCCCGCCCACACATGCACGTACACACTTCACTACCTTGTTGCGATCAGCATGTAATTCTAGTTTAATGGGTGTCTGCAGTGATGCCTGCTTGTTTTCATTTTGATTGCTTTGTATTTGCGAACTATATATAGAATCTTTTTTTTTGGTCAGCCGAGTATCTGACGGGTGTGGAAACTCATCAGTATGCTTAAGGGTATCCAAGCCAGATAGGTTTGCATGCATCCCACCCACACATGGAAATTCCAAAGATAGATGGTTGAAATGAAGTGTGCACTCTCTCTCTCCCTGGAGGGAAGCATCCTGCTTGCCTGATTCACGGAGAGTATTAGGTGCAGGTTGGCAAGAGACAAGGTTTGGGGACCCCAGGGTTTCCGCTTAACACAAATATTTAGAAACGGGGGGGTGCCCTGTTCCCCACCCACCACCATAAGGACAGTGATTCATGAATATAGAACTTTAAAGAATATTCAGTCATGACGCTGTTTAGCTGTGACTTTATTTAGTATGTGAGATTAAGTGGGTTGAAGTTGATCTTTTCCCCGTTTAATTGCCCAGGAAATGCAAATATTCAACTAGTTAACCTGTCAGACGAATTGTCAAAGAAAACAGAAGACACTGCTCGACAACAAGAAGAAATAACACATCTTCTATCGCAGATAGTTGACCTACAGAAAAAAGCCAAAGCTGTAAGTTGATCATGTGTTGTGTTTATTCTATACATTATTCCCCCAATGCTAATTTAATGATTGTTTATCAAATGCCACTTGATGTCAAAAAAGTCGCCTAGATCAATTTCATTTGAGGCAGAAGTCTATATCCAGTACTTATGTTTCCCTTTTAAATTCTGTGCTTCTCCAAGAAGTTTAATTCCGAAACCTGGATGCTCAAACGCAGATGGCACAAAACCGGCCTCAAGGTTCACTGCCAGATGTGGCTCGAGCATTTTTGTACTTACAGCCTCTTCCTCTCACAAGCCCAAACTGTGTTTTATTCCCAGGCCATTCTGAAGGCCAAAAATAACCCCAAAGTGCTGTTCTCCACCAATTATCACCTCTTCCCCGTGCCAATTCAAACACACTCAATCCTCACATCTAATGCCACGTGGAAAGAGGTCCTGGACTACTTCATCTCAAAGATAGAAAACATCTGTCTGGCTGCCTTCTCTTCATCCCTCTGGTTCCCTAGCACCCCCCGTGCCTTCTACTTCACCTGCTCCTTCGGCCACGGCTCCTACCACTGGCCCCATCCTACACTCCTTTGCCCCCGTTTATTAATTCAACATGAATTGGCAGGCTCACATAGAGAATGGTGTGTGTGGGTGTGGGTGGGGGAGATAATTGACTATTACACTGATGAAGTTGGATTTCTCCTCTGAGATGGTGTTTGAAGGAAAATTGATGCTGGGGCTGAATCATACCTAAAACTAAAGTGGACTTCCAATTTTCCTCTTCCTAAACATTTCTTCTTTTTAAAAAAAAAGTTAGTGTTTCATAGATGAGCCACTTACCATTTTCTGTTGTAAACTGCTGTCTCATGAAGCCCAAGCTTGTTTCGTCTCCAATTGGAAAATGTCCTTTCAGGTGCTATGTCCAGCAATCGTACCACTTCACAAGTTCATGAGACAGATCCAAAAGTTGAAGGTCTTTCTGCCTGCTTGATCTTATTTTCCAAAAATATAACCCACTTCTTCCTGTTATGGCATCAGGATGTCTCCTAAATGATAATCATAATAATCCTATGAGCCTAGTGTTCCATCCCCATCCATATTTCTGAAGTTCAGTGGTTGCAGTTGTAGATAGTTATCTGTAGGAGATTGCCTTGATGATGATTCCATTTTTTCCCCCCAGTATGCAGTAGAAAATGAAGAACTTACTCAACATTTGAGTGCAGCTAAAGATGCCCAAAGGCAGCTCACCGCTGAGGTAAGTTTGAAATTTCCATCTAAAGTGTGGAACAGTTACTTGTTGAATATTATTTTTTATATTGTTAAAGTGCCCACTGCTGCTGATCATCATCAGCAATCTTTCCAGTAGAAACACAGGTCCAAGTGTACTGGTCATAAAATCTACAGGTGACTTCTGGTTTATCAAGGACGTAGTGTTGCCATAAAACTTATCAGGCAACAAGGAACCTGGAATGCACCGAAAACTGCCATTGGAACCCACTGCTACTGCTTGCATGACATTTGACTGACGACAGAGTAAAAACATAAAGCAAAATGCCTCAATTGGCCTAATTTGTGAAACACTCTCCCCAGTAAGCCACATAGATCGAAAAGTCAAAGGTTAGATTAATTGTCTGAGCTAGTTGGTATCAGCTTGGCAAAAAGTAAGAGTGCTACAATTGTCCCTGGATAAGAAAAGATAAAATTATTTAAGGTTTGGAGAAATGGATTGTACTCAGCTACAATACCACTGTGGATACCTGCCACATTCTCTGTTGAGACTTTGGACAAGGTATCTGGAGAACTGCGGCTCCCAGTGAGCCCTATCTCAGGAATCACAAAGCGCTCCGGGACACTACAACAATGCAAGTTGTTGTTGTTGAATCCTGTTCAGACGTTTGAGATCACAAGAGAGATTATAGAACATTCGAAGGAGTTCTTTCAAAATGAGCAGTTAATGTGAACGCTGGCTCGCTGACTTGACATCACTCTGAGGATCCATAATTCCCTATAGGTTGATTTTGATAATAGTGATTGGGGAAAATGTGCATCAACTAACTTGAGCTCAAGTCAATTGACATAGTTATACTGATATTAATATTCTATACACATACTTGAGGTGATATGTATTACACGGCATTAATAGTATTCATTTAATATTATCGTGTATAAATGAATGACTTTTCTTGGGAGAAGTGAGGAGAGTCTTATTTATCGAAGATCTGGCATGCATTAAATAAAATTGTGTACATGAGAGAGCTGAACTTTTTTCAGATTTGTTGTATTATATTAACATGATAAAGAATGGATCAAAGACCATACAGCCTTACCTGCTGCATCTGCAGATGAAAAGATCTGCCATGTAGTGCCTGATTCCCAAATCAAGCGAAGACTTAAATCATAATAACAATATTAATCCATTGCCATCCACATAACAATAGTTATACAATCTGTCTTCTATTTACCCCTAAAGTGTTTCTTTACCCTCCCTATGGAATATTTTCTAATTTCAGGTCTTTAATGTACAAAATAAGTACATTGTATAATTTATACTTTATAAAGTACAAATACTGGACTTTAAGTGATCAAATGCTGCAGTTTCCATTGCAATAGAGTGGCTCGTTCTGAGCAATGTAACATTGTTCTACTGTATTGTATCCTAATAATAAACTTCAGATAATTTTCCTTTACATAGGGTAGCGTCTTGGAGCAATTAACAGTGGCAGAGTGAGAATACCTCAATTGTGGATTGTGCTTGTTCTCTTGACAGCTAGGTTGTTTATTAATATGGATGGTCTGCTTACAGCGCAGTCAATGTTCAGTTTATCAAATTCACCTGGTATTTTGGCCAACATTGCTTCAGATAAAGTTGGTCATTCACTTTGTGGCTGTTTGTGAGATATTGCTGTGCAAACATTGGCTGCCAAGTTCACCTAAAAATACACAGTCACTATACTTTGCGGTAAAATCTTGTGAAGCACTTTGAGACAACTTGATCAGAAGCTAACATCAAATGCCAGGATTATTACTTAAAATTGTACAATTAACAATCAGTTGGAAAGAGTAAAGCTTTCTATGTGCGCTGGTGCAAAGCAGGCCCTTGCAAAGTACACTCCTGCTTGATTGTCATAGACGTGTCACAGCAATGTTGAGCAGGAAGAATTAATTCAACTTTGAGTTGCACATCATTGGAATCATAGAGGGTTTACAGCACAGGAGTCTATTTCAGCCCATCGTGGCTTTACTCCCATTGCAGCTAACTGTTCCCATCATTTTCACCAGAATCAAAGATTTAACAATCGCTAACATTATGTGTTTTTTTTTGCATGTTACTCTACGTGGAGTCTTGTAGCTCAGTGGTTAGAGCACTCGCTTTGCAAGTGAGAGACCTGAGTTCAATTCCAGGCAGGTCAGGGCGAAACCTTGGGCAAGTTTCCTTACTCCTCACGCCTAATAATAATCCCTCCAAAACAAAAAAACAATAAATTGGTCATTTTCAATCTACGACTGTTTGTGGGACATTGCTGTGCGCAATTGGCTGCCGCGTTCGCCCACAAATATACAGTCAATTCACTTTACAGTGTCTTCTGTGAAGCGCTTTGGGACGTCCTCCCGACGTGAAAAGCGCTATACCAAATGCAAGGATTATTATTATTATTATTATTACGTGCCTTGATGGCTTCCAGCCAACGTTCATGCTGCAATTACTGGGCCTGAGGGTCATTCAACAGAAACTACAGTGAAATCTGATGCATCAGTACAATATAAACTTAGTGGCTGGCTACACATTGGCTTATTTCCTGACGGTCAGTTCAAAACTCTCCTGCATTGGCTGATTCAAGAACTTTGAACATTTATTGTTTAAAAGTTCATTGTTAGAGCTGATCGTGCCAAGGTGCATATTCGGTATTTTGGCACTGATTCACAGCAATGTTGAGCAGGAAGAATGAATTCAACTTTGAGTTGCATGTCATTGGAATCATAGAGGGTTTACAGCACAGGAGTCCATTTCAGCCCATTGTGGCTTTACTCCCATTGCAGCTAACTGTTGCCATTATTTTCACCAGAATCAAAGATTTAACAGTCCCTAACATTGTGTGGTTTTTTTTGCATGTTACTCTAATTTCCTTTTAAATATAAACTTGGCTTCAATAGCAATTTGGAGTAAGGAATTCCACATTCAAACAATCCTCTGTAAAATATTTTTTCTCGGCTCGCTTGTTACTTGTGGTACCAATGCTATTTTAACTGGAGCAAAACAGTGGCCTTGCACCGCACACCCAATCAGTCCTTATTGAATTTTTTTGGGGGGCTTTTGCTCAAATCAAAGTTTTATTCGCAATATAGTGGAGCATTATGATGTGCTATACAGAATGGACCTGTTAGTGTGGACACCAGGGAGTGACAGGGAGGGTTGTGAACTGAGTTCCTGACTTTAGCTGCTTTGCTGTTGCTTTGTGGGAAGTGGGGGGGTGCAGTCAGATGGTGGAAGAGAATCATCATCAGGCAACTTGTGTACGTGCTGCTAACCAGAGCGCTCTGGTGGAAATTGAGAGCAGGTTTTCTTTGGTGTTGCCACCATCTATTCAGCTCCTCCCCTACCCCTCCATATATGGATGCGTTTTTAAGATATGTATTTATTTTTGCCCTTAGTTACGAGAGCTGGAGGACAAGTACGCAGAATGTATGGAAATGCTACATGAAGCACAGGAAGAAGTCAAGAACCTGCGCAACAAAACCATGCCAAACAGCACACCACGGCGCTACCACTCCCTGGGCCTCTTCCCTTTGGTAACACAATAACCGCAGAAAGAATGAATTGTAGTTGCTGTTTGGTGAAGGTCTCGTTAGTCGGTGCATCTACTTGCAGGCTTCAACTAGGTTCCTTTTAACCTTGCTCCCGCTCAAGAATCATTGCAACCATAGCCTGATTCTAAACATTTTTTTAAACAAACTAAATTACAAAAAAGTTATCTTCTTCTGTCAATATTGTTAAATGAGGTCTTTCTTTATTTCCGAGTAAGAAGCAGAAGAAGCCTGATGTTGCAATTAGATCCCAGTGAATGGATTGCAATTTCAAATCAAGCTGTCCGTCAACATATTGCACTTTAACTATAAAGGGATTTGCCTTACTGATGTGATTTAAGGTTGACAGGTGTGTTATAAATAGAGCCTTATCATATCTGGAAATTATTTTGAAAGCATCTAGAACTGGAATACCAGTGCGCCAGTTATGTTACTCTAATTTCCTTTTAAGAATAGCAGTTCACTGCACTAAATGTTTTTCTCCGTTTGGACTCCTTGAGTTCAATATTCAAACCCTGCTCAATTCCAACATTATGTTGCCAAACATGTCACCAAGATCTACATTTCTCACCATGTGAGAATTGTACATCTTGTGCTGTAAAGAACAGAGTTTGAGATTTATATTATTCTGGAGAATGAGAAATCGTAATTCACTGTATTTGTTTTTGCTAACATATGGGGCGATTTCCTCATCTGGGATGGTTGCAAAGTAGACTAAACTTTCAGAAAGTCTCAAAACACTCTTTACTTTGGATACAATTTAGTTGTTAAGATCTTTGTAACCCAAAAACAAATCAAACAACGTATTCACTGTTGCACAACTAAGGTAAGATAGACCCAATTTAAGTTTTTGGATTTGTTTGTGCAAAAGACTGAAGAGCTATGGTTTACTCTCACTGGGTTAATCCAATTGAACGCACGTTGCAATTTAGTTTTCAAGGAAAGCTACACAGATCTCCATTGTAATTGCTGATGAAACTTCCTCTGAGGAGCTCGGTCAATATACCCATGCCTCTCAAGAGCAATACTGTGTTCTTGCTAAATTATTTGAGTTTTGGCTCATAGCCTTGGTTGGATGAATGTTTAAGTGCAGATTTATTTGGGAAGTACAGAGTAGCTAAGATTTCATATGTGCAACCTGTGCGTCAAGGTTTGCAATGGGTGAGGAGGATTTGGAATCCCATCTATTTTATTTTCTCCAAACCTGAATAGTTTGACAGTGGAATTAATGGTGGAAGTATGCCTGCACTTTTGTCCCCTCCCCCAACCCACTTAGCGTTAGAAAACATGATTAGAATGTCCACCTTATCCAGCATAGTATTCCCTTATGACCTTATCCTGTCGTGTCTCATTTTCATTGAACAGGACTCTTTGGCAGCGGAAATTGAAGGGTCAATGCGTAAAGAGCTGCAGATGGACAACTCACCGGCCCACGAGCAGAAGTATGTACATGCATTAGCACTGCAGTGTTTTTTAATTGTTAGATTATTGATTGCTGCCATGTCAAATGCTCATTCAAATCATTATAATAACCTGGTAAAGTAGTAATGGTTTAATTAACCTAAATTACCCTTTATTATGCACTTAAGAGCCTTTTATAGATTTTCAGAGGTCTGACATGTCAGTTGCTAATATAAAAGTGGTGTCTAAATAATGGAAACGGGACTAAAATCAGTTAGTAATGAGGCTGGCAGAGTTGTACACTGTGCTTGGAGATTCTGGAATGTGGTTTTGTTAAAGCTATTTTTCCTTTTCTAAATGGGACATAAAAGCATCAAAAACAAAACAATCGGGGTTAATTTTTGAGGTTAGAATATTACAACATCAGCAACTTTCTATAACAAGTATTAGCCAATAATTACACCTTTTTTAAGAAGTGTGATTTTTTTTGACAGGGGATTTCAGGCTTTGAGGGGCAAAGTTAGGCATCCACAAACTCGCAGAAACAACCAGCCCATCATCTTTATGTGATGTACTTGGGGGCGAAATATAAGGGTTTAATTACAGCAAAGCACTTTTTGTGAAAGAATTGTTACAAAAGGACCGAGCACTAATCTCTGCCCACGTTGGTGACTGAGTGCTATTCCACACCAACACCAGTAACTGAGCATTAATCTTTGCTTGATTGGTGTTAAAGAGAATCATAGAATCATAGAATTATACAGCACAGAAGGAGGCAATTTGGCCCATTGTGTCTGCTCGGGCTCTTTGAAATGAGCTATCCAAATCAATCGCACTCCCCGGCTCTCTCCCCATAGCCCTGCAAACTTGTCCTCTCCAAATAATTATCTAAATCAGAAAGAGAGAAAAAAATACAGCAACACTTGTTGTCCATCATCTCCTGGCAGGCAACAGCTACTTCCTTTGAATAATAATCTCATGTTTTTACAGACGACAGCATAAGAAAGTGTTTGAGACTGTACGCACAGTGAACCAGGCTGTGAAGCAGAGATCGCAGGCCCCATCACCCATGAATATCCCTGGATCCAATCAGTCCTCCGGCTTGAACTCTTGTTTCTCAAGCTGTATCAGCACTCCTCGCTCCAGCTTTTATGGCAGTGATATCTCCAACATCGTCATAGACAACAAGACCAACAGCATCATTTTAGAAACCGAATCCTCTGACACTGGGTAAGAGAGCTAGCGACTCAGCCCTGCTTCAGGAAAATCCACTTTACAACGGGAAGGAAACTAGGCTTTATATTAAAAGGTCGTTCCAGAAAGTGATAGTGTGGACCTGATGTGGTGGGGCACAGGTTTACATTAATGAGGAAAATTGAGTAACAGTCCTTTAAGACACATTTGCTCTATTCAATTAAAGTATGTTTTTCTTTTATTCTTGAATTATTGACCAGGAGAAGTGGTGAACCCAGGCCAGGCATCGGCATACAGTAAGTAGCGTGCCCAGTCACCCATGGCCTGCCTTGTACACCTCCCTACAGCTAGCATTCAGACATTATCCTATGTGAAGGACATTATATAACTGCAAGTTGTAGTTAAGAGCAAAGTTTGTGTCAGGTTGGAATGCTACCCCCTGTGTCTGTGCATGGCTCAAAGAGACATAAGGAAATAGAATAACAACATAAAAAAGGTGAAGAGATCGAATTTTGACAGGGCTGTTTTTCATGTACCATAGAAATGTATGACATGGTAGGCTATTCGGCCTGGTATTTTAGCTGTAATCACCGAGTCCAAATGAAGTGCTCTGGTCAGACTGGACCTTGAATACTCATACAGTTCTGGTCGCTGCAACACAAAGGGACTGTCCAGGCCATAGAAATGATGTAGAGGAGAGCAAGAAGGATGATCCACAGTGTTAGAGGAATGAGTTGTGAGCAATGATTAGACACACTAGGGCTCTTCTGTCTAGAGACAAGACAACTGAGGGGATTTCATAGAGGTGTACAAAATTTTAAATTGGATTCAAAAAATAAACGTAGATCAATACTATAGGATGTATCAGGATAGTAAAACAACAGGACATATGTTTAAAGTTATATAGGGCACTTTCAGGACAGATACCAAGAAGCTTTTCTTTATGCAGAGTGTAATCAACAGATGGAACAGGTTGTCAGGAACAGTGGTTGAGACCAGGACACTAGACTCATTTAAAAAGCAGCTTGATGTTGTGATGGGGGACGGTAGGACGGCTGGTCTGGAGTGATGAGATCAGATGGGCTTTTGCTCTCCTCATTCCATTGTGAATTCCTTCCCAGGTACCAAGAATGTGGAAAGTGTTCTTTCTAGTGACAAAGCTAGGAATGGAAATTTGGGTGGGCACCAATTTATGGTGGATGGGAAATGACCAAATTTCCATTCCTATCTGCGGGCAATGTATCACACCTCCCATTGCAGTGCTCTTCCTGTCACTCTCCATGCTGACGCACCATGGAGAGCGATGGGAAGACTGCCAAAACAGGAGGTATGAGTGCAAAATGACATTTGTAAAACACCTTTCATATCGGGAGGACATCAGGTATGAGACAGTGCAAAGAGTAACTGGTGGGCCTGGGTGCTAATTGGGTCAGCTGTGACCCATCCAAGACCACTTGTAGCTATACCCCTGGTCCTTTCATCCAGTTCTTTTATTCCCATCAGGTTTCAGTATTCCTGTAAATTTGGGCTGAGATAGTTAAGTGAGTATTAAGCTTGTAGTAACCAAGATAATTAATGACCAGAATAGGTTGGCAGGGAAGGGTGGCTGAGACCAGGAAACTGGGATCATCTTTAAAAAAGAAGCTTGATGCTGTGATGGGAGGACATTAGGGTGGTATTCGTGGAGGGATGGGAACAGCTGGGCACAAGGGCCTCCTTCATCCAAATCTTGTGGTAATTGGAGAAGTACTAACCGTAGCATTGGTGGTGTGTTAATTTTTTTGTTTCAGAAATGAGGACAAGGATAAGAAGCTGGGGCAGCCTGGAACCCCTGGCTCCAGGGATCTGCAGGCAGCTCTCCGGCGGCTGTCACTCCGGCGGGACAACTATCTCTGTGAAAGGAAGTTTTTTGAGGATGAAAGGGAGAGAAAGCTGCATGGACTTTCAAGTGGCTCCACTACACCCACGGAAAGCATCATGTCACTGGGGACAAACCTCTCGGGAATCTCGGACTTTACGGGGTTTTCAGGAATGTCGTTCAGCAGTCGTTCCTACCTGCCAGAGAAATTGCAGATCGTGAAGCCCTTGGAAGGTGATAGGAGGCACCGTCCTCTTTATGTTCTCGTCTTTGACTCTATTTGGTCCCTGATGCATCATAAAAAATCAGGGAACCTTTGCACCAAATATTCCTTCTATTTCAGAGATAGCCAGCCAAGGTGTTGGTTTGAGATCTTCTGAGCTATAGTTGCCTTTTGACCCTTTGAGGATTATTACAATGCTCACTTACCTTTTTTTTAAGAAAAATGAATTTTCACTTTTAAGAAGAAATCCAGTATCTGCTATTTTGTGCAATATCTGGTTTGTGTTCCCAATCCTCACTGTTCTTGCTTAATGGAGCAATAGAATCATGTTCATAAAATACAAGATGCAAAGGGAATTTAGGACTCAAAGGGTTTTATTACTAAGCTTGTTGCTGGACTCAGTCATTCATGTGCATTTTTCAAGCAAATATTCAGTATTCACAAAAGCATGGCAGATATACATTGTTTTAAACTACACTGTTGAGAATATTTAGTGTTCCGTTCAGTTAAGCTATTATTGTGTTTGTGAATGTTGTAAAGGTATATAGTATTGGTAATTCATTCTGTTCCTTTTAGTTTTTAATAAACATTTTATTTCTGCCTTATACTTTGGTTTCTGTCTCAGTTTGATTTTTATTCATTCTTCTGCTTTATGCCACAGATTACTGGCTTCTGAAGATTGTAACATCACTTTTCAGAGTTTTTAAAGTTTATTGGCATTGAATGACTAAAAACTTACAACTGTCAGAAACCAGTGATCTGTGAATATATAAACGAATCTGGCATGTTCTAAGAAATCATTCCCCCTCCCTTCCACCGTTTCTGTTGGAGAAAAGAAACCAGTGTTATTTTGTATCATTCGTTTGTTTGATTTCTTCTGCTTTTTTCTTTACTAAGTGGGTTTTAATTAAGTTTTCTTCCTCCTGTGTCACTTCATGTAATGCGATCTTTCTTAAATAATTGGAAATAGTTGTTTGTCTATCTGTTAAATTGGTATAGAATCTGGTTAAGTTGAATAGTCGAGTTAGATCGAAAAAGATACTTTTGTAATGAGGTTTGACAAGAACATGATGTACATTTAATAACTGCTGATGTGAAGAGTAATGACAGAAATTTATTAATAGCATTTATTTATTAGACCCTTCTGGCGAACGTTGAACACAGTTATAAACACAGAAGTCGTTGGGAAAACGCAGCAGGTCAGGCAGCATTTGTGGAGAGAGGAATATGAGTTAACTCTTCAGGTCAATGACCTTGCCTTTTGTGGCATACTTTGCCTTTTGTTTATTGAACACAGTTAAATGAAAATTATTTTACAAGATCGGGGTGCACAATGTGTTGTGACAATGTGCTTCCATAGTCCTTGGAGGTTCATAGCTTGAAGACCTTTGTATTGGAACATAGCAGTGAAATTCCTGCAAATGACAAACATTTATTCAATTTTATAAGCAGGCCTTCTACTTTACTTATAACACCTTCATGCTCTATTGACCAGCAGGCAGTGATTTTCTCCTTGACGTCCTTAACGACTATTCAATAGAGCAACTATTAAAACGTTGTTTCAACAAAAAGCAAAGAAACCAGAAAATGTAATTGTTAGTGACCTGAACAGTTCTAACCTATCGCTGGAATGCTGCAATAATACCACATTTGCTTCTTAAAGGTTCGAAACCTCAGATCATATGGTATATTTTGCCTCAGAAAATATCTTTCACATTTTTTGTGATTGTGGTTGTGGTTGTGTTAGAATAATGTATCGTGCAATATGTTGATTTTATATTGTTCTTGCAAATGGATTAAATTTGAGAAACTATCTTTTAAAAACAGGTATATTTGAGTAGTAGTGTGATAATGAACTAATGAATAATAATAATGTAGCAGTGTAATTTCACCCTTTGCTTGAAATGAATTTGTGGTGAATTAACTCCAGTTAATATTCACCTTGTTTTGACACCTTTATGCAAATTTTAAATGATCCTTTTACATCCTCAGGTTCAGCAACTCTGCACCACTGGCAGCAGCTGGCCCAGCCAAACTTGGGAGGAATTCTTGACCCACGACCTGGTGTTGTCACTAAGGGCTTCAGGCCATTGGAGTTGGATGTTGAGGAGGTGTACCACTTAGCGGACTACGAGGAAGATGAGCCGGGTAACCTTCTTTTCGGGGCTTATCTACCTCGTCGCCGATTCAGCACAGGGAGACCTCAGGTGAGAGGTCGAATGCACAAGTGCCTGTATCACAAAGCCAGACTTTACTCAGCCAGTGTCAACCAGTCAGAGTGGAGACCCAGGAGTCAACGGATGCTGAACAGGCTTCTGGTGAGAGAGCATCTCCTGTCACGTGACATTAGCATTTGACAGGATGCTAAATACTAGAGAGTTTGTTTCATTCTTCACATCAAAGTGCCATCTATATAGTTTGTGTTGTTTTTCATAGTAAGCACTGAAGGCCTATTTTCTGACTGGATTAGTCCAGGTTTAAAAATTAACTATTTGACTAGTAACAAGCGCAGAAAAAAGCACTCAGCACAACTGGCCTGAAAAAACTTTCATTCCTTATACATTCAGATAATCTAAGGATTTTAATTCAAAATACACTTTATTATTTCTTATGTTTGGTTAAATTAAATATATTTTTGCATTGTTTGTTTTCATTCGTTCGTTCATTAGTTCTCTCTCTCCCTCTTTCTTCCCGCATCCCCTCCCGCCCGTCTGCCCCGACTGTCCAGACTGGCCCCATGGTAGATTTATCCACATGTGACTCCTTTGATGTTCTCACTGATATTGCCATAGAGAAGTAGATGGTCCTCAGTTAGCAACTGTGGGATACTGTCTAATGGATTGAGGACAGTGGATAATTCAGAAAATATTTTGAAAGGCTACCTAATGAGTGCCATAAAAATGTTTCCCATACTTAAATCTTTAATATGTATAATACGCTGACTTTAACCTATAGATTGAACCTCTAAATCTCTCCGCTCATTTTATCCCTCCTTGTGCTTCCCTGTTTGGAGCATACTCCCAACTTCTATTCCTCTGTCCAGAATGTAGCTCTGGAGACTAGCTTACCTTACGTTAGAAGGATGCTCATAGCTGAGCTGATAGTAGGGCTAATATTTTGATTAGTTTTAAATAAATCTAAACTAGATCGATATAATTTTTTTCAGGGCTTACCACTTTTTACTCGTTGTATTCTTCAGTATTTATAATTTTCTACAGTACCAAGATTTTTAGTTTCATCTTCATTTCATTTGCTGGTACATGGGGAATAATACTGCAAATTAGTGCAACTATGAAGGGTTTGTGGTCTCTTGTGAGTAAGATTGTGTGGTTACATATAATAGGTTCAGATTATGTGATGTACATGGTTGGCTCTGGCACTGACCTACTACATACTACAAACGGGTAATTAATTAAAACCAAAATACACAGGAGTTTATTGAAATACATTGCAAATCTATTTGAATTCAAACTGGCGATGTTCTATTTCACCTTCGTTCACACATCTTGCATATTTTGATACTTCTAGACAAATGTGTGACTGATTTTGACCCAAACTACTCAACGATGTCTCGGGTTATATTTCAAATCTCTGCATTGCTTTTATGCTATGATACCTATGATCCCTGGTGATTTTTGAGTCAGCGAGTATGCTGATTGACAGCTCAAACTAGGTACTCTGCTGCTGGCCAGATTTGAGAGGACTTCAGATTCATAATGATGTGAATTTTCAAACCACAGTTACCAATTTACTAGTATGTGACTTTACTGTACTGCTCCACTGCACTGCAGCATTCCCGGTTTCTCCAGGCCTATTTACAGCATTCATCATTTTGTCAGAGTTCTCACTGGCTGTCGATTATAAAATACTCCATTGTGATATTTAATGATTATACAGTTTCATTTCATGTTCCACTGCAGGTAGACATTCTCATAGTCTTCGTCTTTAAGATGTTTCAAAGATTTTTGTTGTCATGTCATGATTGCCAGGCTGCGATACAGGATGATTGATGGGATTAATTCAGTAAAAGTATGGAAGGAGATGGGAACAAATATAAGGAGCAAGTTTGAATTTTTCTTTTAAATAGAAATGGACTATAAATAACTTCCACTAATAATAAAAAAAAGGCTCTAGGACTCTAGGTGAGCACCAAGATCTTGAACTGTATCCTCTGTGTGATACGAAGCCAATGGAGTTGGGTGAGGATGGGATGATAGGGTCGCAGAGTTGGGTGAAGGAGAGAACATGGCGGCAGAGTTCTGGATGATCTGCAGTCTATGGATGGAGGAGTTGGGGAGGCCGACAAGCAAGGAGTTTGCATAGTCAAGCCTGGATGTTATGAATACGTGTATGAGGGTTTCGGTGGCCTGCAGTGTGAGACAGTGGCGGAGCCGGGAGATGTTGCAGAGGTGGGGAAAGGCAGATCGGGTCATGGCACAGATGTGGGGTAGAAAGAATAGTTGATGGTCCAACAAGACCCCAAGGTTCCGAATTGGCTTAGCGAAGTGGAGTGTGTAACCATGGATGGTGATGCTGTCAGCGCCTGAGGTGAGGAGGTGCTGACGGGAGCCAATCAGCAGGGCCTCGGTCTTATTGATGTTCAACTGAAGAAAGTTAGCTCTCATCCAGGACTTGATGAAAGTAAGCATGAATGAGAGATTTCCAGATGCAGCCTGTGCAATCATGTCCCAGTTTTGATTTCTGAAAGCGAATCGATGTCCACATGATTAGATCCAAACAATTGATCCATTTCTTGCATCAATATTCTGTTGATTTGGGATCTTAGTGATTTTGACACTGAAATAACCTCCTTCTGCACCATTTTTACCCCTTTCGAATCTAGTTGGAACAAAGCAAAATGTGTTCCTTCAGGTACAATGCTCCTAGCACCTGGCAGAATACTATGGCCAAATCTGGATCTAAAGGATATAATACAAAACAAATTTGCATTTATACATTGCCATTCACGTTAGGAGAGTGGCTCAAGGCAATTAACAATACTGTCTGAGCATCTGATCAGGGGTGTTCTAAATGGAGAATTTGGAGCCATTTGTAACGCTTGGATGAATGGGGCAGAAAGGGTTGCAAAATCTGGTGCAGAATATTTTTATAACCATTGATGATTCTTGGCTTTTTACTTGCTGCTGATGTGTGTTTTTCTGCTGTTTCCCTCTTTTGATTTCTCTTATTTCAGTTCACTATCCTGGTAAATGTATGTCACACACCAGCGCTACCTTTACCTTTACAACCTGCCGCATCCTTCACCCCTCTGATGAGCTCACAAGACTCACTCCAAGGTAAGGACGGATGTGCTGATCTCTCTATTTCATTTTACGTCTTACTGCAAAAAAAATGGATTGAAAGCTATTTTGTGTAATTCTTGCTTACTTAAACTGTCCTGAAGGTAAAAGGTGGAGGCAATGCTCTTTCTGTTATAAAGCTGATCTTTTCTGTGTGCTCTTACTTTTCTTAATTGTTGGACTGCAAAGGGAAATTTAGGTGCTGTATTTTAAGTTGTGAAAGGGTCTTATTTGTGGTATTGCTTGTGGGGTTCCTATCACAAACTCCAATGCTCATCAACCTATTACAGTAACACTGACTGCTCAGGACAGACTCAGTGATTTTGTCAATACATAAAGTAATCTAGATTTGCAGTAAAAGTATTCAGATAGTTGTGTTTACAGTCAACCTAATCAGACTGGCATCAGCCTGGTGAGTGGTATTTTCATTGTACAATGTATTTAACACTGGACATGCGTCAGACACATGGTACAGGAGATCCCTGGGTTGAGTCATAAAATGAGTAGAAAATTTCAAAGAATCAAAGGAACCCGAAGCTCACTTTGTTCATTACAGTAAATTATTCTCTGTAATGAAGCTTAAAGTAACGAGATTTGTTGAACCTGAGTGAAGATGAGGGAGGTTTCGGAGGGGAGTACAGTGCCACTTCTCCTTGACTTTTAAGAATTTAAAGATGTAGATTGACATGACTAAAGGTACCAAAACTGCTGTGTTAATTTACCAGTGTGGTGACTGAAAGCGGTCTCCTGTCATTATTAACAGTAAATCCCAAGAATCTAAGGTGCTTTTTTTTGTCAGTGAACCATAAAGAAGTCAGAACCACTTGGGGCTGAAACGTGCAGCAAAAACAACTGTTTAATGACAAATGATTTTCCACAGGTCAGATGATGAGGAAGATGAAACCACAATATGCCATCGTGTTTGGCAGAGGGAAAAATAGGGCAGAGACAAATCTGCCAGGGGGTGAGACACACTGCCAGTGATACCAACTCTGGCCCAACTGTGCTAGACTCCGAGGAATGCCAGAGTGTGAAAAGCTGCTAACATAGTCATATAGTTGCCTGTGTAGATGTCTGCTATGCCATTCCTAACCTTATTTCATCTAGCAGTAGGATGTCAGGTTAACATCTGTCTTTTCATTGTAGTAGATTAGTTTTATTTTGGTGTATGTGCATGAAGATGATGTTTTAAAAAGCTACACTGTAAGAAATGTAAATGGGGGAAAACTGGATGATAGTATGACCTCCCAAGCTGTTTTCCATGAATTAAAATGCAGTTGTGCGAGAGTAGGATTTTGTAGCATCTGGAATTACAATTGGAAAGAAGTGACCTTTTAAAAGGAACAGTGTGAGTATGTGAAAAGCTGATGTTATTTGTACTCTTATTAAGTAATTGTAAGTAGTGCAACTGAGGTTGTGGTAACATTGGGAGCTATGTAAGTCTTGGTTCTTGAATGGTCCCAGTTAATACATCATTGTGTTGGTATAGTTGGGAAATGGTTAAGAATGTTGCTGGTAGTTGAGGAGTAATTTGACTCCGGCAATATTTTTTCATTGATTTGTGCATAAATGCTTTCAACAGTTAATTATAGAGCTGACTATGTAAACGGGGCAGCTTAGTGTCGGTGGTGTTTATAGTGGATTGATGAAGTATCTCAGTGAGCAGATCTGATGTACAAAGACCCAAGCGAGTTATTGTCAGTCATCCAGTTGGACCCAAATCTCACAGCTCTTTATGAGTACTATTTAGACTGCTTGTTAAGTGCACATTTTAAATGGGAACACAATATTTAGGAACACACAAAATGTGGAACATTTTGGGAACAGCAAATGGCCATTTGCCGCTGACTCCACTGCCCCTAATTGATGGATTGCCACCTCACCTACCTGTCTTCAAACCCTGTCCCTTAATCCCTTCTCTCAGAAACTGATTGAGTTGTGTTGCAAACCTTTTTGTTCAATTTATTTCAATAGCTTTCACTGGTAACTTATTCTGTATACCACACTTTGTATAAAATGGTTCTGCTTTGAGCACCATATTTTTCTCATTTCTAAAATGTGCCCCATAGTTTCAGAAATCCTCATCAGTATGACCAATTATTCTGCATCAACTACACCAATTCACTTACAACTTTGAGAACTATTAAATCACATTAAAGTCTCCTTTTTTGCAAAGAGTAGGTGCCAAACATCCCCAACCTTTCCTCATAATGTAGATTTCTAAACACTAGTTTTGCCTTTCTTACCCTTGAGCACACTGTTCAATGCTATTGCTGCCTAGGGTATTTGATATGTGAGTCTAACTAGTGTCCAGACAGCAGATATTAACTTAAATTAAAAATATAATGCACTAGAAATACATTTCTGCCATTTTTGTTATTTCAGTTTGTTTTTAACTGAACAATGCTTTGATTTGTATTCTATTCCTTTGCTAAATGCAACCCAGCACTGAATGAAATGTATTTCTTTACTGCAGTCAAAAAGTGGCTGATGTTTTCAATAATTTTCTCACAATAATCCTCAATTTACAGAGCAGTAAACACATTGAACAGGCAGAATTATTTTTCGCTGGCTTTCAGACAAATTATTTTAAATTGAACCTGTTTTGCATTGTACCTTATTATTTGCTCTATTTCCAAATATAATTCCTCAGCAAACGCTTTCAGGTTTTTAAATAACCAGATTATTGAGGGAAAGGAGGGGGTTGTCTTGAATCAAACCTTGGATTATCAACTAATTTGTAAGAATATAGGAAATTTTAAGTATAGATTTCAGAGTTGATCCAATGATCACTGTGAAACTCTTCCTTTGTCTCCTCCATCTCCCTTCCCCACCACCCACAAAATTGTCGTCGATTCTCAGCTGTCATGCTTGGAATGTGTAAAAATATTCCAAAAATAACCATTAGATATGGCCTTGGAATTGTGGGATACTACTACATAGAAAGAGACTGTTTGGCCCATCAACTCTGCGCTGGTTTTCTCTACTTGTGCCATCTGATTAAATCGCACTCTCCTATCCAATCTCCTTGTGCCTGCAATTCTCTGATCTGGTCCGTCAAAGAAGTGCCGTGGCAGACATTTGGCCACAGTCAGCATGAGTCACCCTTGTTGTTTGATGGCCTCCGAGCTGGTCACAGTGTCAGAGACTCACCTCACATATCCTCTGATGGGAGTCATAGGTGTCTTAGTGGAACCTAATATTGTGAGTGACGGTTGAGGGTAGGGATAGTGTAATACAAATGAGTTGTATATATTTGGTTGTGACTTAACCCCACTCCCTCTATGTCTTAGATATTAATGATCTTTATCCACCCACCATGCAAAGTTGAGCATTTATATTCAAAATGTAGTTATCTTAAAGAGATTGTGTGGGCCTCAAAGTAATTTGTTCATGCTGCACAAGGTGGTTTCCTATCAGTTTTATAAATCCTTTATTCAGTTTTATTTTTGGCAAGAAGTTTTTGAAGTTTTAATTATTCTTTCTCCTTATGGTTTGCAGTAGTACAATAAACAAGTGGAAATAATTACTCTTGGAATATTCATAATACTTGTGGTGTTGAAAATGATTTCAAGGTATTTTTATGTTTTGATTTTTGTTTCTTTACGTTGCTGTAACAAGTGATATTCTGAATCAGCCTATTTTCAATTATATTTTAATTTGTAATATAAAGACTGTCGTGATTAACCTTTCTATATCAATAGAGTGTTGTGGGAAATTGTTTTTGCTTTTTAAAAAAAGTCCCTTTTTATTTTATTATGAGATGCTCTCTTGCAGTATAAAAGCTGGAAGTTGATGAGTTTTTGATAGTTCTAGTCTGTTAGATAGATATCGCCTGTTAAATAGCACTAATGGTTTGCTGAGTGCAGTCATGTCAGACAGTATAATTGGTTCAGAGTATTTTGTGGATGATAGGTGGCTCAGAACCCAAGGTAGCACGTGACTGATAATAGCACCTTGTGAATATTAACTATCCTTCCCCTATAATCATCAATGTTACAGCTGCTAACATAAAACATTACTTTATTCTGCTGCTAACTTGTAAACTGCAATGCCTAGCTTCCCAACCCAAACCCTAATTGCCCATAATTTCTAATATAATAATAATAATCCTTATAATAATAATAAGGATTATTATTATTTATTATAATTTACTGCCAATGGTTGCTGAGACGAACTGGGATCTAATAGTGATCGGGTAACTTGGTCATTTCCCAGCCCACAATTGAAAGTTTTTATGATTAAAACACACTGTAAGAAGCTAAATGTGAAAGCTGGAGAAAAGAAACCCAACAGTTTCATTTTTGTATCCTGCTGTTGTATTGATTGCTCACAAAATGGTTATTCTGTGAGAATCAATTTTAATTTTTGAAGAAAGAGTGGTGCTCATGAGGAAGGGTTGCAATTGGCTGGGAATAAATTTGTGGCCTCAGATCTTTTGCTGATTGATTTTTGCGCAAAGGCTGCTCCATCAAGATGTAAGTGTCAAAAGGTGATGACACAAATACAAATCTCAGAAAGTTAAGTCTATGCCCAAATACATTAGTTGAGCTACAGCACCTATAAAAACAAGTGGCATAGATTGAGAGAAGGCCATTGACCAGCTCATTAAGGCCTACTCCTTGTACATGCCATATATAATCCATTCTGCCCTTCGCTCCATTCAAATTCAACAATAATTTTATTTATATATTTATAATGAAGTTATTGCATTTATATTCATATTGCTTCATGCAATGTTCTACAGATTCTCTTCCTCCCTCCCCTCACAGATAGATTGAGCAAAACTCCAGAGCACCTAATATAGCATTACATCCTACTTTGCAGTATTCAGAGGAAATGCTATCGCAATAGCATTTTAGCAGTAGATGCATTTCAGATACTATCATGGATCATATGGTCTTACTCTGCACTATTAACAACCACAGAGTAAGGCCTGGAAGCAAATGCACTGTAATAACAATAAGATGGTATATTTTTCTCCCTTTTGACTTTTACCATCTGCCTTCCCACTGGAGCTTCCTCCAGACAGCAATGCACAGTCATGCCATGCTGGAAACATGTACAAACCCAAGTCCTGTCACTCTGTTTTTTGTAGATTTTGTAGATTTCTGCTTCACCTCATCTGAGAGCGAACCTTGGTGTGGGTATAACCCATAAAAGCTGCACCACCGCATCCTTTTTTCCTGCCTGAATCAATGGGAGTGTGTGTTAAGGTTTTGAATGAATATTGCTGATTTGAATGTACTTAACAAACGCTTGAAATGTAAACATTTCCATGGAATTACTTGTGTCGTTACTTGTACCAACCAATCATGTGCAAAGTAGTTCTTCCCGGAAGCTGAAGAGAAGCAGGGAAGTCAACCAAGGCCTGGGCTTAACAGTCTTCTTTTCCTTCTCTATTCTTAGCCTTAACTCTACACCGGCCATTGCTAGTGGAAACCTGAACACTCTACGATCCACCCCCGTTGGTACTCCGTGCACGCCTCGTCGCTTGAGCCTGGCTGAATCCTTCACTAACCTACGAGAAGCCACTACGACAATGAGCACTTCTCTGGGCCTGGTCAGACTACTGAAGGAGCAGGGGATTTCAGCTGCCGTGTACAACCCATACAGCTGGGACAGAATGAGTAGCTTTGGTGCCAATCCATATAGCCTCAAATCGGCCATCGTCCCGTCCACTCCTCCTAACTCGCCGTTGCATTCGCTGTGCCCATCGCCACCTCCGTTTGAATTCAAAGGTGCTAGCAGTCATCACTATGACAACTTTCTGGCATCCAAACCAGCCCGATCTATACTGAAGGAGATCAGGGGAGACAAGCGGGTCAGACACAGTGAATGCCAGACTGATGTGAGCATCTCCAGAATCAACCTTGTTGACAAGGTGAAGAGGCTCGGCATTGCCAAAGTCATCCGTCCGGGGGCCGCAATCCCACCCGGACCGTTGCTGGTGGACGAAAGAGGACCCTTTCTCCAAAGGGCCCAAGGGCCGGTGAGAGCTTTTACCCATGGGACCCTTGTGGGCGAGAGCCATACTTTAGAGTGTCCCCAGATGGTCCCAAGTGCCATTGGAGGGATTCAGCTGAACAGTGGCATTCGACGTAATCGCAGCTTTCCCACTATGGTGGGGGCCAGCATGCAGATGAAGGGACCTGCAACACTGAGTTCAGGAATCCTCATGGGGGCAAACTTACCCAAACAGACTAGTCTCCGATGAAGGATCAATGCAATGATGATCAACTATCCACAAGCTCATTCTCAGTGTTTGATACATTGACTCAGTGCCTGATAGGAGTAGAACAGAATTTGTATAATATGTACATAGATCTACTGTCCTTAATGTATTGTAAGTAACTAATTTAATTTAAGGTCCTAGCTGTTCTCTCCCTTTTTCTCTCTATATATATAATATATATATTTAAGGAGGTACTCTCCAGTGGTTGAAAAACATGCGCTCACATTGATGTGGATGTTCCTAGAATAACTTTTTAATTAAGGTTGGTGGATTGAAGTTTGCTCCGTCTAACATGACTATGATCATTTGAGTACAAAGTACAATCCGAGACCTGTACTGTTTTGTACTAACAGTATGCAGTTCATATCATTCTGAGGACCGGGCGTCTGATATGGATCTGCATAGAGTTACAAAGGGAATCATTTTAAGTAATAATCTTGCACTGTATTTTAAAAAGTGAGAATGTGTTTCAATTAAGCAGTATCATTTTTAAAGTATGTTTTGCTGTTAACCTTTAAAATGTTGTTTTGACGACGACATTTGTCCTTACTGACCTCCTTGTTGAAGGATGATGACAACCACTCTAGCCTGTAGATAAATGCAATGGAGTAAGACTTGTATTAGTAAATATTATATGCAGTGTTTGCGTCACATGTACGTTTACTTGAATTAATACGTGGTGGGGTGGGAGCGCGATATTAAAAAAATCACATTGAAGCACCATTAGTGGTACCTAAACCATTTATTTTGAACTGTTCACATGTGGCAGGCTTCGGGTTCGTTGGAATCTGATTTTAAAACTTTGTCAAGACTGAAGTGACTTATTGTGTTATGTACATTTATTCTAGATATTTTGTTGGGCAGCACATAGGTTGACTGCATGTGTTTCAAATGCATTCTGATTCATTTGTGTTGCATAAGGTTTTTGGTAAATAGTTTTTTTTTCCTTTTTAGGCTACGCTGCCTGTGTATATTGTTTGCTGAATTTCCAGGATTTTTTTTTGACGGGGGTGGGAAGCGTTAAAGAAAAATCTTTTGAATGTATAATATAACAGATAACAGGTAGTGTGACCAGGACTCTTTATTATAGGTTTTGTTTGGTTGATCAGTCTACTGAAGAAATGGAACTGCCAACATATGCAATGAAGAGGAAGCTTCACAAATCAGGGTTCACACATGGACACATTAACACTTGAAACAATTGGGTTCTGATGTATTGAAAAGTTATAGCATCATCTGTTTGGCTACTGATAAATTGGAATAAATTGATGTCAACTGCTAAATGTTTGTTTTTCTTTAGGCTGATTTCTCACGCCAGATGACAACAAAAGTTGTTGAGTTTCACTGGGTCTGATCTCCATTAAATTGGGCACATTCTAGTCCTTCAATATGAAGGAGATGGGAATGATCTTTAATTTAATATAGTAATAATAATCCTTGCATTTGAACAAAACATGGCAGCCAATTGCGCACAGCAGTGTTCCACAAACAGTCATGGATTGAAGTGACCAATTTTTGTTTTGTTTTTTTCTTGAGGTATTATTATCCGATAATAATAATAATATTAATATAACAATATATAATACTATAATTATATATTAAAATTATTATTATAATAATTAATAAATTCTTATTAATTTATTCTAATATTCCTGTCGCTGAGACCTTGGAATATGTACTGTAACCAAGAGAGCAAACCAAGTCAAGTCCTTACATGCAATGAGTCTTTCCACCAACTCAGAATAAATGTTACAAAAACCCAATCAGTGATGAATCTGTGTAATAATCTGAAAGGTGGATTATTAGAAATATAAATGTTTGACCATGACAGCATTATTACAGTGCTTAATCACAGTTCAAAGCAATAAAGCTCCAACCTACCCACTTGAAAGCAAAACAACTAACAGCCGGAATAGGTAACCAGTGATCACACTACTTTGTGGGACATTACAGAGTCATGTCAACAATCTGTCACATGGATGTCAACAGATTTGAGGCAGTTTCCCTTCCACCCTTCCCCTATTTTGAGACATAAAACCACAGGGATACTGTTGGCCAAATGAAGGTTTTGATTCTACGGAGAAATCATAAACTCCACCGAAAATGGGCAGAAAACTTTCTCTCCCCTCACCCCTCCACACACACAAAAAAACATGACAAGCATCTAAACAGAACTAAAGGAACAAGACCTAGACCTTGAAATCAAGAATGGAAAACCTGTAGGAGGAAAAGGGGAGAAGATAAAGGACTGTTTCACTCAAAATAAGAGACCGTGTTACAGTAACGGTCTGTAATTATATAGCACTTTTCACATAGAATGAACGTCTCAAAGTGCTTCACAAATGGATCACAGCAGGGAGAAAAGGAGGAAAGAATTTGAGGTGGTTGATGTAGGTCACAGTAAAAGAGAGAAGTTGTTTTTAAAAAGAGGTTTTGAAGGCAAGAAGATTAGATTTTGAGAGAGTTTCGGAGAGCAAGGGCATCATGGCTGAAGGCTGGGACGGAGAGAGTGAGGATCAAGCAATGGAGCAGAGCCGGAACTGCATTGAGGGAGGGTGGGGGGAAGATCATAAAGCACATTTCAAGTCAGATACATTATGTTGTTGTTCTTAAGTGATGAAAAATACCTGAACAAAAGTGACCAACGGGAGTGAATCATTATCAGAGTTAACAGTAGTCTCACCGTGTCACTATAATCATACCCAATCCTAGCAAGGTATACTGTTCATAACCATGTTGAGTTCTATTTAAAAAAAAAGTTTTACTTTTTACACCCAGGAAAACTCTAGGTCCTTTAAGGTGTGGTTATGGAAACATTTCATCTATGTACAAAAGTGACCAATGGGTACTGTATTGCTTTTTTAAATTGCTCTTAAACAACTCAGGGCAAAGTATATGTGGATAATAATGTTTTCGTTTAGATATATTGATCATTAATTTACATTTCAAGTGCTTTGCATATTTAATTTTAATTGGTGTAGTATGGATTTAGCACATTGAGAAGGCCAATTGGAGGGAGAATTGCAGGTCAGGAATGGGTGATATAATTTAGGAAGTTAGAAAAAGTAATGGAAATAATCATCTGGTTGGATGGTTAGCAAAAGCAGAGATGGGGTAGTGAAATGTGCACAAATAGGGGTGAGTCAGTGATCTAACTTTGCTGGATCTGCTTACTGTGAGGAAAATAGTTGCTTTCTTTCCTACAATAGCAGCCACTATACTTACCGCTAACTACTGTCAAGCACATTGAGACATTTTGATGTATGCACTGATTTGTGAAAGGCGCTATACAAATGTAATTTTGTTGTGCCAATTGGTGCTGAAAACCAGAATGAAGCAAGGCTCCACATGTGATGACTTAAGAGAGGAGCAATATCTGTAATTATTTTTTCAATTGAATGAAGAAAACCAGGTACCTCAACTTTTCCTTTACTCTGTAATGTGTAGGATTATAATTGTACACAGTTACATCAGTCTTTTTGTGAAATCCCTCTCTCAACAGTTTTCAGGACAAATTGCGATCATTCTGTTAATGTAGTTATTGCACCATTTTCTTAAATGCACTGATGATTAGCACTTAGAACTATTACACACATGACAAAATAGTTCACCTAGTGGAAATGGCACATTGGTCTTATAGATAGAGGCATGTTTGCAGAGTCCGGGCTGCTGATACTTGCCTCTAAACTATACATTGTACGACTAGATATTGTAATCTTATACACTTGGCTGCACCTGCTGTTAATAATTTTCCTTGATGTGAGTAAGTGACCTCTAACACATTTTGAGATATTTGCAATTTTTTTTGCCAGTTTATTGTTGAATCAATGAATGCCACACAATATTTATCGCTATTCAATGAATTATCCAAAGCACAATTTAAATACTCTTTGATATCTGAATGTGGGAATTCTCCTGCGGTCTCTATAGTGTTTAATACTATAGTGTTTAATACTGTAACCTCAGTGCATGTAATGGGGAAACTGTGGCTGTGGAAAGTTATCACACAGAAGATGAACGTGGTAAACCAGTACCCCTGGTTGAGGTGATTTATGATATAACATGTATTTGTGTCTGTAAATGTTTGCGGTTCTTTGCGGAATGTGAACATTTGCATTCTTAGCTCTTACCGGCATTTTTAGCGTTCTTAGCTCTTACTGACGGCTACCAGTCTTGTTGTCTAGGTGCTGAGCAGTAGTCACAAGGGTGTGGATTGATTTCCCTCTGAACCATTGAAAGATTTTTTCTTCTTCCCATTTTTTTAAAAATTCATTTTCTTTTCGTAAAATCTCGTTGTGTTCAAAGTGACTCATTTTACTCTTTTCCCAACATAAACAGTCTTTTTTTAAAAAAAATAAGCTTGAATATAGCTACTGTAAATGATTATTACAACTGAATGTACTCTGCTGAAGTACTGAAAATGCACAGTTCTATACGGGGCAGTTCAGTATCTGCAGTGCCCCCATGTCGTGAGAATTAGTTACTACAAATTTCTCACAACACGTTTCACCCACAAAACACATAATCAATCCACGAATGTTTGTGGGACACTGATGTGTGCAATTGGCTGCCGCAGTTTGTCCACAGTCACTCCACTCTACAGTATATTCTGTGAAGCGCTTTAAGATGTCTCGACGACGTGATAAGGCACTCTATCAAATGCAGGGATTATTATTACAGCTCCAAGAATTAATTTCAGTCAACAAATTGTTTTGGGACTTGGCTGTGGGGACTTTGAGCTTGAAACTGGTGCTGATGAGACCGGGAGCCATTCTGAATAGTTCTTCCCTCGGTATTCTGAAGATTCGAGGAATTTTATTTTTTCAATGCAACGTACGTTATTCCCATTGCTCCTGTTCTACTTAAAATACTCCTGTGGCTAGTAAAGTATTGATTAGTTCTGAAAATGTTTCAAATAAATGAAGTGCCATCAGATCAACAGCAACTTGACTTTATCAACAATTTTTTTTGTGTGACTACAGTAAAACTCGCGTAAGTCTGATATGTATAAATCGTACAATTGCCTAAATTGTACATCTGCCTAAGTCCCGTTGAATTTCCTATTCATACCTTTCACATGACTCATACTTTGCATTAGTAATATTCAATGTATGGTCCTAACTGATACAATTTATGTGAGGTTTACTGTAGTCAGGCACAGTCTTGATGCCGCTGATAAAAGACCCTGAAAACTTATAAAATGTGCAGTGTTGTTCAATGGCCACCAGGAGATGCTCTTCCATGTGTTAGTCAAAGTATAACCAGGATTGGGTAATCTGGAAGAAAAAAGATGCTATTTTCACCTTTCAGAGGGGCCACGCTGATTAATAATTGCAAGCTTATGGAAAATTAAGAATCATTTAGTCAATCATTATCCTTTATTTGCTACTTTACTTCAATGTTTAAACTTGATTGTTGCACACAGAAGTTATACCTACTGCAGCTGTGTCAAGATCTACATCTACATTGTTCACTAATCTGTTACAGAGCAAATCAACTATCTTTAGGAATGTTTTCCTAGCTGTAACAATGCCATACAAATTTACATTTATGTAGTATCTTTCACGTCAAGAGGATGTGCCAAGGTGCTAAACAGTCCAGGATTTGGAACTGGGCTGTGGGGGGGGTCAGGGGTGGGGGATGGGGGCTGTCTGAAAGCGCAGTCAAAGAAGGTCCTGAGATGAACTTTGAAGGAGGCAAAGGAAGAGAAGGGGCAAGTCAGTGGGATTCCAGGGTGAAGTTTCAGGGAGCGGGACCAGATATGCTGACCGTAGATGGCGGGGGATGTGAAGTAGGCAGGTGCCCACTGAGGTAGAGTAGGGCAAGAAATTGGAAGGATTTAAAGGTTAGGATAAGAATCTTGAACTCAAGCCTATCAACTTACTGCTGGGGGATGGGGAGCCAGACTAGGATGGGAGTGAAAGTTTTGTGGGAAGTGTGGGAAAGGATATAAACTGCGGAGATCTGGATAGCCTGCAGCTTGTGAAGAGAAGAGGTGAGCAGAGTCGCTGTAATATAGCCTGGATGTGATGAAAGAGTGGATTAGGGTCTCAGTGACACAACAACAACAACAAAATTACATTTGCACAGCGCCTTTCACATCAGGAGGACGTCCCAAGGCGCTGGAAAGACAGAGTTTCAGACCTGAGCTGGGGGTCGGGGTCGGGGAGGGTAGAGGGCAGGTGGGGAAGCAGGAAGATCGAAAGCACGGTCGAATAAGAGGGCCTTAAGATGGGCCTTGAAGGTGGCAAGTGAGGGGCGGCAGAGTGGCAGGATCTTGAAC